CTTGGGTGAAGAACTCAGAGGAAGAATGGATTTCTGCACTTTACAAAGCGTTTTCCTGTAGTTACAGAGCTGTGGTGACATTCCAGCGTCAGAGGAGACAGAGAGGTGGCGACCCCCACTCACTACTGGTTTTGTCCCCGGCACTGGAGAGTCATGTCCCTCCCAGGGCACAGTGCTGGTTGTCACCTCTAGCTGATCTGGTTTCAGTGAACACACATTTACTAAACAAAAAGGGATACTTCTTAATTTCCCTAATTAACATATTAAAATTGCGTGTTACTCACAGGCTCATAAGTTTAACAAAAGTTACAGATCGTGTGACCTGTGTACATAGTTCTTTGTTTTATTACGGGTGAGAAATACTATAGTACATGCCTGCTCTGCGCGTAGTCAACACTAACAGCAAAGCCTGAAGTTCCACCGTTGTACCAGATGGGGGCACTCTTGCTTTCTTCCAAAATCTACCTCTCAGAAGTAGGAGACAAAAAGGGCTAAGCAAGGTGTGTGTATGAGAAATATGGTCAAAATATATTATTTACATGTATGAAGACATAATAATGAAATGAATTATTATTAATATGTGCTAATAAATAAAAAGTTGCTTCTCAGTGACAGGAAAAATATCACTATTCTAAGTACCAATAATTTCCTTTTTTTTTTTTTTCTTTCTTGAGATTGAGTCTCACTGTACAGTGTTAGCTGGCCTGGAACTCACTATGTAGACCAGGCTGGCCTTGAACCCACAGAAACCCACCTGTCTCTACCTCCTGAGTGCTGAGACTGAAGGCATGCACCACCACACCCAGCTGATAATCTCTATTTATGAATATTTATTTTATTTGGGATGAGGACATATGCAATCATATCTACTGATTTTCATCAGAGTTGCCAGCAGTAGCTTTAAAATAAAATGTTTAATTCTCAGATGGAGTCCCTAAATTCAATCTCTAAATCTATTGGTCTGGGATGCAGCTTGGAGAGCAGTGGGGTATTTTTTTTTTCTGTTTGTTCATTTGTTTTGAGAAAGGATGTCCTTTGACTTCGGATCCCCATAACTCTGCCTCCTGAGTGCTGGGGTTGTACACATATGCTGGTGTCAAAACCAGACCTTGGTGTATGCTAGGCATGCACTCTACAAACCGAGCTACTTCCCCAGCCATGTTTTTATCTTTTGAGCATCCTAGGCTCTGACTCAGTCTTCTGACTGTGGGGACTATAGGCATGTGCTACCACCATGGGCTTTGGCTTCAGCAGTTTAAAAAAAAAAAAATCACTCCAAGGGCTTCTGACAAGTGAGCAGAACTAGGAACTACCGCTGGGGCCTGGTGTAATTAAGAACAGGTTTTATGGGAGCAGAACAGCAGACATGGGTTTTCTAGTTTAGTGTATAATTCCCCAAAGGATTAAATAAAGCAATGTAAATAATGGCTGTCCCCGAGGCTTGCAAAGCCATGCACAGTTAGCTATTAGTTCACACTCATTCCAACTGTGCTGGGCCTTGACATTTTATCTTCACTCTCTTTCTCTCCATCTTTCTCTGGTTAGTGTCTGTCCTTTCCAGGTACCACCTCCCTCTCAGAACACTTCCACGGCTACAGGCTGTGGAAAACTGCTGTGTGGTCCCCTGCTCCAGCTGTTTCCTGTGTGTTAGTTCCCTGGCATTTCAGAGGCCCTTCTGCCTCACCTCCCAAGCCCCTAGCACCAAGGAGGAAGGGCTGGTCATCACTGCCTTCCCTAACCCACTGAGGCACTTTCTGGAAGGCCCATGGCTTTTCCACATCTAGCCTTTCTCTCCAGTGAAGTCTCCATTGGGAATGACCGGGGGACTGTGAACGTGAGTTGTGAGGACTCAGTACCCTCAGTCAGCCGAGGGCCCAAGAGTCAAGCCTTTCACAGAAGATCTTGTCGACCGGGGGAAAGTGGGTGACTCTAATGAGATACTCGGGGACCCTGAGGGGCTGACTCTTTAGATATGACCGCCCATGGGGTGGGCTTTAGATAGAAGAGCGGGGCAGTGGGAACAGGCCTGCAGAAACAGGAAGGACAAGCAGTCCTGGTGAGTTCTAGGCTCGCCTCTGCTCTGGATGGAGTGATCTCGCATAAGCGCAGCAACTGCTTTCTGCCAACCTGAAGCAAGGACTGTGTCTGACCTGGGGTGCTTTGAACAAGAATGGCTCCCATAGGCCCCTGTGTCTGGATGCTTGGTCCCCAAGTGGCAGAACTATTTGGGAAAGATTAGGAGATGGGGCCCCGTTGGAGGAGTCATTGGGGGTGAGTTTTGGGGGTCTCAACTGCCTATGCTATTCTCTTTCTCTCTGTCTCACGGTTGTGGGTCAGATGGGAGCTCTCAGCTGCTGCTCCAGTGCGCCATGCCTGCCTGCCTGCTGCCACGCTCCCCACCATGATGGTCATGGGTTCTAATCACCTGGGACTGTGACACTCCCCCCACCCCCCACCCCCCCGGTTAAATGCTTTCTTTGTAAGTTGCCTTGGTCCTGATGTTTTTGCCACGGCAATGGAAAAGGAACTCAGACACCTCCCGGGCCTGGGTGGGCACCGACCCTCGAGTGGCTGCCTCCATGGCAGCTTCTGTGGCATCAGGCACGGACACCGAGTTCCGGGGGCCGGGATGATGTTTAGTCACCCTTCTGCTGCCCTCGGGGAGGAGGCACTGCAATCGGGAAATCACGGTATGCCGGTTCGGTGAGGCAGGCCTCACCTAGTCCTCCACAGGCCTGGTCGCCCATTATGTCCTCGTTCCAGGAGAGCTAGAGCAAGGCAAAGCACTTGCTCACCCCACCCCCACGTCAGCCTCCTCCTTCAGTGTAGTGCTCCCTCCTTGGTGTGTTCCCCTGCCCCTGGGTGGGTGACAATGGAGTGCATCCTTGTGTGGCTCTGAAGGACATCCCACGGACCAGCAGATCCGCCTCTCTCCAAGCAAAGTGTGAACCAATACATCATGAAGCAAGAAAACGGTATCCTTTTGCCATGGATGTGGGGTATTACCTATCTGACCCATTGCCATTCCTTGAATAAAAATAATTCAAAATAATATGTTTTAGAGCTCACTGCTTTGGACTTCAACACGTGAGAATTGAATTCAATTGAGGTTAATAAAATTATGACTGTGTGGCAGGGATGTCTTGTGGCACCTTACACCGAGGCAAGTCAAGGGGGTTTTCTTAAGAAAATGGCTATAGAGAGAATCGAGAGTAGAAATGTGTGCAGATCCACTGAGAAACAGAGCCAACACTCTCAAGACTGTATTTTTTCAGAGTCTCTACTCCAAGGTTGATTTCAAACTTTGTGGCTGATGATGACTTTGAACTCCTGATGCCTCCCCTTCCTGAGTGATGGGGTCACAGACATGTGTCACTCTACTTAGATTATGCAGGGCTGGGGATCGAACCCAGGGCTTTGTGCATGCTGTGCAAGTTCTGGAAAAACTGAGCCCTTCCCCAGCTCCATCTTGGTTTTTTTTTTTTTTTTTTTTTTTTTTTTTTTTTTTTTTTTTGGTAATTTTTTTTTAATTTATTTTAATTTATTTTGCAATACAATTCAGTTCTACATATCAGTCACGGATTCCCTTGTTCTCCCCACTCCCGTCCCCCTCACCTTCCCCCCAATGCCCCCCCCCCATTCCCATCTCCTCCAGGGCAAAGCCTTCCCCACAGACTGAGGTCAACCTGGTAGACTCAGTCCAGGTAGGTCTAGTACCCTCCTCCCAGGCCAAGCCAAACAATCCTGCATAGGCCCCAGGTTTCAAACAGCCGACTCATGCAATGAGCACAAGATCTGGTCCCACTGCCTGGATGCCTCCCAAACAGATCAAGCCAATCAACTGTCTCACCCATTCGGAGGGCCTGATCCAGTGTGGACCCCTCAGCCATTGGTTCATAGTTCATGTGTTTCCATTCATTTGGCTATTTGTCCCTGTGCTTTATCCAACCTTGGTCTCAACAATTCTCGCTCATATAAACCCTCCTCATTCTCGTTGATTGGACTCCCAGAGCTCCACCCAGGGCCTAGTCATGGATCTCTGCATCCAGATCCCTCAGTAGTTGGATGAGGTTTCTAGCACAACAATTAGGGTGTTTGGCCATCCCATCACCAGAGTAGGTCAGTTCGGGCTGTCTCTCGACCATTGTATGTACTCACTCATAGCAGGATACTAGACATGAAACAAGGATGAATTGTCTGCTACTCACATCACCAGGGAGGCTACCCAGAAAACAGGACCCCAAGAAAGACACAGGGATCGCCCAATGACAGAGAAATGGAATGAGATCTACATGAACAGCCTGGACATGAGTGGGGGTAATGAAAGGCGAGGGTCGAGGGAAAGAGAGCTTGGGGGAGCGGGAGATCCCAGCTGGATCAACAACAGAGAGGGAGAACAAGGAATAGGAGACCATGGTAAATGAAGACCACATGAGAACAGGAAGAAGCAAAGTGCTAGAGAGGCCCACAGAAATCCACAAAGATATCCATCTTGGTTTTTCAATCAAGAAACCACATGAAGGAACTTCTCTCTCCTGCAGGCCCTGGAACCGGTTGGACCACAAGATGGCAGTATAGTATCGACCTTTGGAAACCGATAACGCATTCCTTGCCCTTGTTTTGAACCGCAGCAAAATGTTTGCAGGGCTCTTTAAATGGATCCTGTTCTGCAATGGGCTCTGTGTGATTTCCTTTTAATAAGACAATCCGATTTCCTCTCCTCAAACTTTGAAGTGTTACAGGTGCCCGCAGCACAGCCAGTGAGGAGGGTAAGAAATGAGGATGGGACACAGTCTGCTTTTCTATTAACTTTCCCACCTTCTGTTTATGGTACTTCCAGGTTGCCTTTATTACAGAGCAAAAAAAAAAAAAAAAAAAAAAAAAAAAAACAAAAAAAAAACCAAAAAAACCCCAAAAACAACAACAACAAAACAAAACCCCACAAAGTATTCAGCAAGATTCCTCCCGCGAGTGACTTCAACAAAGCTTTGGTTTCCTGGTGGTGTTAATCACATTAGATTTTATTTACTTCAATCTGGGCACACAGCAACCACATTGTCTACCCTCAAATATTTGATAAGTCTTAACACTTTCTAAATGTAGTAGTTAAGGACAGGCTACCTAGCTTGAAGTGGTATCTGAGCAATTACCCTGCCATTCCTCTAACGCACATGGGCCTAGAAGGGTCCTTCTTTACGTTTCCTACCCCCACAATCAACTTTAAGTATCATTTGGGTGTTGACAACTTTTGACTCATGTTTCAGCTTTCAGAGCCAAGAACTAACCTTGTGGTTCAGAGCCAGCCCCGAACCCAGTCAGTCTGCCGAGTACAGCAGCAGGCCTTTTCACTGAAGGCCCTCAGAGTGGAAACAGTGCTTTTCCTTGATTCATACGTTTGTTCAGTTGTACACACTTCCGGCCATCTTGTAAAAGCTATCACATATGGCATTTTCTAAGGAAATATGGAAAACAAATGAGTTAAAAGCTTCAAAGTATGGCAACTCCCCAAAGTCGTAGTTGAAAGTTGCCACCATGAATACCATTATGTCAGAGAAATCCGCAAGTTAACCAGCAACTTTTAGTGTTTTTCTTTTCTGCACATGATAAAGCCCTGTCCCCAACTTTGACCTTATTACTGAATATGCAGAGTTCATGGCCAGTTTACACACACACAGCATCCCAATCAGTGTGTAGGTTAGATGGGAGTGTATGGAGGTACCTAGGTCACAAAACAACAATTATTTAATGAATAAAACTGCTGGCAAGGTGCCCAATTTTTCAAGGTAAGATGGGCATGACAGCTGGAGCATGTATCTACATTACAGAACTAATTTAAAAATCCAGTTTAAACAAACAGTGACTCTGGAAGGGAATAGAAAATTAAAAAAAAACAATGCTTCTTCAATAAAGAAGATCAATAAAAGAAGTAGTTTTCTTCTTATTAATACAGAATTTTAGTCACTAAAGGAAAACCAAACATCTATGAAGGGCACCCAGGGCCCCTCCTTATCCACAATGCTAGACCCCACTTATTAGCAGGGTAGCTGCCAGTTTCTTATCTTGATTGACAGGTTAATAAGGGACCTGGAGCTATCTTTTCAGTATGAACATACAACCTTACCAATTACTTTTAAATTATTGCTAATTTTCCAGAAATTAAAAAGCCTAAGGAAGAAAAATTTCTGAAAAATATCTACTGAAGAAGCATTTCCTGCAAGAGGTTTGAAAGGTCCAGTTCAGAAAATTTGCCAGCATTTAGTCAATAGAATTTAGGCACTGAGGATTTTTTTTTTTAAGGAAAACTTGTAGTTTATAATAGTTCATTGGTTCAATTAGGAGTGAAAAAGAAGGGAGTTTTGTAATGCAATTGTCCAGCAAAGGAAACCGCTTTAAATTGGGGGATTATGTGCACAGACCACCTGTGGGGCATTCAGAGCCTTTTCTATAATGCACAGCCCAGGCCTAGCTGCCTGCGGGCTGGCTAACAAAGCCGTGGAAAGCTGTTGAAAAGGCTGAGCGCACTTGCGCCTCTGGTCTTCACTAACTGTTACAAGTCTTCGTCTCCCTCTCTCCCTCTCCTTTTTAAAGTAAAAGTCCCACATCCCTTTAATGGAAGAGCGTTAAGGCTCTGCGGTGGCCAATTGGTCTGCACCAAGAGGAGCCAGGCAGCAGGGAAAGAAACTTCAGACTACACAGCACAATCGGAGAGGAGAAAAGATCAAAGTTTTTCAAACTCAAAAGACCAAGTTCCCTACAGATTAACCCTATTCATTTAGCTCCCCTTAAAGGAACGATGTGCGGAGCCACTGGGCAGACAGGTAAAAAGTTCAACAATTGCCAGCGCATTCTTCTGCTGATTCAACAGCCTTCTGTTCAAATAAATTAGCTTAGTCTTGACAGAGGAACAATAGCTTTTTTCTCCAGGAAAAGCAGCACACTTGGAATACACAAGCACGGAGCGCCATTAAGAAGTTAACCCATTCGTTTAATCTGTTAGCTAGCACCTGCCCTGCTACCCCAGATTGTCAAGTGACTTCCAGTGTAGAGGTGACCCGTGGCTTCAAATACTAACCTCCACATTTCAGAGTGTGGCCAGGTCTGTAAAAGGTCAGGGCTTTAAAAAAAAATCACAGACAGGAGATACTCACATAGGGCTGCTGTTTCAACTTAAGTGACATTATACCAGCCACATAAACAGGCTGAGTGGAATGGCCGCCTTTGCAATCTGTCCATCCACACACCACACACACACACACACACACACACACACACACACACACACACACACACACACACACACACACCAAGATGAGCTGTCACTCAGAGGTCAGCAAGGAGAGACCATGAAAACCAACATCTTTGGGGAAAGTGCAAAAACGCAATTTTGATTTCAATTCAACAATGACATTTACTTGGCTAACAGTTTAAGAACTAGAGGTTAACAGGTAATTGTCTCCATGCCTAAAGTCAGTGTACAGAATGGCAAGCCAGAAAATGTCCATTTCCCCACATGTCCTCAGCAAGCACAAGGGGAACAGTTCAGAAGAGTCGGGGGACAGGGTAGTATTTAAATCATTTATCAAAAGTCATTTTATTGACAAAATAGAATACTTATATTTGTTCTTACAGGGGTAGCCTCTAAACTTTTTACAAATAATGTACACGTTGTATATCTTTGGATATATACATATTTTACACTTTTTCTTTTTTTTCTTTTTTACAATTTAACAAATAATTATATAAATACATCCTCTAATGTAAGAAACCCGTATTTACTTGGGGTGTATAATTAAGACATTTCTTGTTTATTTAAGGCATTTGCCTGGTCATTAAGAATACCCAAACCGTGCAATCCCACAAGGTAGCAGTCGTCCCTCCTCTAGGGGGTATGAGGAGTGAATTTATGCAGGCGGGGTCGAGGGTGAAGCGGTCCCTTGGGAGAAGTCTGTAGCTTGACCTCAAGGCTCAGCCAGGGTACCCAGGAGGGTTCCAACTCTCCTAGCCGGCTGAAACCATTGCCTGGGGGAGGCGCTCCGGAGCGTCGGAGGGGAGGGGCTGGGTCTGGGAGGCTTCAATGCCAGGTACTTTGTTCTAAGGGAGTCCTTTAAGTCCCAGCGGCTAATGGATACCATTAAGAGTTCATTATCATGCTAATAGCAATCAACACGGTGAAGGGGTGGGAACCCCGGCCGGTCTGGGGTCCCTTCGCCGCCCTTGAGCTCCCCATCCTCCACCCCTCTCCGCCCCTTCTGGGCGTCTGCTCAGGGTTCAGACTTGGGACAATGGCATCTGCTTAGGGTAAGACACGGAGCTGGCGGTGCCAGACCGCCACGTCAGGCCGGTGCTGACGTCGCTGTAGAGAGATCCCCCGCCCCCGCCAGGTCCCCCACCCCCGCCGGGCCCGGGCCCGCCGCCCCCCGGGCCGCCGCCCCCGGCTCCCGCGCCTACTGCTGCGCCCTTGCTGGCCCAGCAGCAGCGAGTGCACAGCGCGCGCCACGACTCCAGAGTCTTGCCCGACCAGACCCATACACCCGACGTGATGCCCACCACCAGGCACATGAAGTACTTGAGCATGAAGACCGCGTAATCGGGCCTGCGCGCCTGGTCGGGCTGCAGGTCCCGAAGACATGGGCAGTTGTGAGTGGCCTCCCAGCGTGGACGGTTGTGCTGCTCATAGAAAAGGCAGGCGACAACGACGGCGGCGGGCACCGTGTAGAGCACGGTGAAGAGGCCCAGGCGGATCATGAGCTTCTCTAGCTTGTGCGTCTTGGTTGGGCCTCCTTGCTGCTTGATGACCGAGCGGATTCGGAACAGCGACACGAAACCAGCCAACAGAAACATGGTGCCAATGAAGAGGTAGATGACCAGTGGCGCCAGCACGAAGCCGCGCAGGTTGTCGAGGCTCTGGTTGCCCACGTAGCAGATGCCCGCCACCGGGTCGCCGTCCACGGAGCTGAGCGCCAGCACCGCGATGGACTTGACGCTGGGCACCAGCCACGCGGCCAGGTGGAAGTACTGCGAGTAGCCTGCGATGGCCTCGTTGCCCCACTTCATGCCCGCCGCCAGGAACCACGTGAGCGACAGGATTACCCACCAGATGGAGCTGGCCATGCCAAAGAAGTAGACAAGGAGGAAGACAACCGTGCACAGCGCGGGGCCGGTGGTCTCATAGCGCACGTGCTGCTCCACTGCTCCCAGCTCCTCGTACTCGCCGCGCGCGCCCGGGCCGCTCGCCCCCGCTCCCGCCGCCCCCGCGCCAGCCGCAGCCGCGCCGCCAGCACCCCCAGCTCCTCCCGCACCCGGAGCGCCACCGCTGCAGGCCACTTTCTCGTGTCCTGCCACCAGGCGCACCAGGTACCCGACCGACACGAAGAGGTAGCAGGCGGAGAGGAAGATGATGGGCCGTTCCGGGTACTTGAAGCGCTCCATGTCGATGAGGAAGGTGGAGACGGTCGCGAAGGTGGAGACGAAGCAGAGCACCGACCACAGGCCGATCCAGAAGACGGTGAAGGCGCGCTCATCCTGGCTGAAGAAGGGGTTGTGGCAGGGCAGCGCGCAGTTGGCGATCTGGCCGGTCTTGACGCGGTTGTAGAGGGGGTGGCGTTCGCTGGACACGCTCACCATCGGCGCGCGGCACTGGCACCCGGGCTCGCAGGGAGCCGCGCCACCACTAGGGGGCCTCGCTTTCCCGCCGCGCGAGGGGGGCGCAGCCGCCGTGTCCCCGCCGCCCCTGCTGCCGCCGCCACGGTGTGGGGGCCTGGCCCCTGGCGGGCGGCCGTGGCCGCTGCCGGAGGGCGGCTGCTCGCCGGGCGGCGGCGGCGGCAGGCGGCGCGGTGGGCTGGGCGCGGCCGTGGTGAGGTCGGTGCGGTTGTAGTCCATGCACAGCGTGTCCGGGTTGCCCTGCTCCGGCAGCCGATCGCAGCGCATGCGGTCAGGCCAGGCGAAGCCGTACTGGCGCATGAGCGGCGCGCAGCCGGCCTTGGCGCGTTCGCACACCGAGCGGCAAGGCGGCAGAGGCTTCTTGTAGTCTTCCAGGCAGATGGGCGTGTACATGCTGCACAGAAAGAACTTGAGGTCGGGGGAGCACTGGATCTCCACCAGCGGCCAGAATTGGTGCACTTCCAGGCCCGCCTCGTCTTGGGTGTCGTGGTTGAACTGGTTGGGCATGTAGGTGTAGTTGTAACCGATGCCCTTGCACAGCGGCACCGTGATCTCTTGGCACGCCAGCTCCTTGGCCGAAGCGGCGGCGGCGCCGCTCGAGCGCTGCAGCAGCGCCAAGGCGGCTAGCAGCGAGGTCACTTCCAACAGGTAACCCCACTCCATGCTGCGCGCCGCGGCCCCACGTCCTCCTCCTCTAGGCGGCGCGCAGAAGGGCCCTAGGGGACCCAGCGAGGAATCGGAGGAAAGGGAAAGCAGGCGACCAGCGGGTCTTGTGTTGCTTCTCCCAGAGGAGCGGAGAATCTGCCAACGATCTAGTCCTTTCTTGGGCAGCGTCTGTGGCAGCAGGGTCGGAAGCTTAGGCAGAAGTCGTCCGGCCCTCCCCCCCGTGCCTCTCCTGGGGCGAGGGTGACCGCAGGCGCGCCACAGTTCCACAGGGTCTGCCCTACGCCCTCTGGGTCGCACTCAGCCCTCCCGGAGCAGAGTGGTGGCCCCTGGGCACATCGTCCGGAGCTCGCGCAGGTCCTCCTGCACGCCCAGCCACTTCTCTTGGCGCCCAGCAGCGAAGGCTCAGAGGGCGGCGCGCAGCAAGTTTCCTTTCGGGCCGCAGTCAAGATGGCTGTGCCTGGCCGCTCGCCTCTGGGGTCAGACCTAGCGACCCCTCTTCGGGCCCCGAGGGTTCATGTCCGTCCCAGGCCGCGCCGCCGCTGCCAGAGTTCCGGGCCCTCCGCTGATCAGGCCGCTGCCTTCTCACTCCCGCGTCGGTCTCAGTCAGTCCTCCTGCATCTGCCGCCGCCGAAAGTCCGCGTCGCGTTCTGGCCACGGTCGGGCAGGGTGCAGGCTGTGCCTTCTTGCGAGACCGACAAACAAATACAGAGCAAAAGGCGGAGGGGGACACCTGAGGGCCGTAGTCCGCGCCAGCAGCCGCCGCCGCCTCCTCCTCCTCCTCCTCCTTCTCCTCCTCCTCCTCCTCGGCAGGAGCTGCGCCCTTCGCCCAACTTCCCGGCTCCAGTCGCCTAGCGCCTCCAGGCCGGCTCATGAATATTTATACAGCCTGTACTCGGTCTCCGCCCCCTTCTGGGATCACCAATCACTGGGTGACAGGGCGGAGTCTATGCGCTCTCAAGGCTCAGCCTTCCTTAAGGAAGTCCGTAGTTTCGCGACTGCTTTTCTGTCTGGCTTTGGGCGGATGGAGAGTTTTGGTCACCTTGGGATTGACCGCACGAACTGAGCATTTACCTAGACTGTCCCCACAGAGCTCAGCGCTTCAGAGATCTTGGTCTCATTTTTCTTAGTCTGCACTTGGGAACTGGGACAGTGTTTTGGTAGTGAGTGCAACCTCCCGTGGATCTCTAAACCTGTCCAGATCCAGCTAGTCTCGGTCCACGGACAATACCGGCTGGTTCTGGAGGGCCTCGGAAGCTCAATGAGGGCTCCAAGGCTGGTCTAGAAGCGAGCTGGGAGTATTTAGGGAGGGAATGTCCTCTTGGGATTCTCATAACGAGGGCTTTTCAGACTTGGAGATTTGGGGACTGTTGTGCGACTTCTGTTGCATCTAGATGATCAGGTTTGGTTAAAGGCAGCCCACTGAGTACTTGGGAGCTCTGCCAGCGTGCAAGGGGCGCGGTACGTGTAAGTGTCCATTGCTGTGTGATCTGGGGCACCTCAATTCTTTACCTAGAAAGCGGGGAGTGATCAAAACAGATGTCATTGGGGAGGTTGATCTTTGGATGAGACAAAATATATAAATATATGAAGCACGTGGACCCAGTTCCTCCTTTCAAAGACAAACACAAACTTACTAAGACACACTGACAACTACCATTGCATTCCCAATTCGCTTGCTACTTTTAAGACATACACTCGTCTACCTAAAAACTTACATGTGTTTGTAAGCGCCTCCTTTTCTTCTGTGAGAGGCGGGGCTGCGCCCTAGAGGGAACACGGGGACGGGTACCGCGCTCAACACCCAAGAATTGGAGGAGCCTTCAGCAGCCGCCAGCGCTTTCAGCGTCCACCTTAAGAAGGGAGGGGGTGTGAGGGGCCAGGGCTTGGCAGGTTCATTTACGCTTGTTAGGACGTCCCAGGGGGTTGTCTTTCTCCTAGAATGGAGTGTTTATTTTTTAATTGATGTGCTGTTTCATTTAGCGCTTGTATGGAACTCATGCTGCGGCTGTAATTACTGTAATCTCGGGAATAAGCATTTCAGATAGCCAGGAGGGTGGCAGGCGCGCGGTCTCAATCTCTCTCTCTCTCTCTCTCTCTCTCTCTCTCTCTCTCTCTCTCTCTCTCTCTCTCTCTCTCTCTTTCTCTCCCTCCCTCCCTCCCTCCTTCCTTCCTCCTCCCCTCCCTCTCTTCCTCCCCCTCTCTCTTCTCCTCCCTCTCCTCCTCTTCCCCCTCCCTCCTTTCCTTCCTTTCTTTCTGTTTCAGGATTTTTGCTCTTTGTCCGATTTCATACCAGGAACAAGTGGAACTAGCGAACAAAAGTTGCGCAGGGATAGAGGCAGACTGCAGGTCCATTCAAGACCCTGCAAGTTCTTCGGGGGTGGAGTGGTGGTGGTGGTGATGGGCGAAGACAGCAGTTCTCTACAGAAAAACAACCTTGTGGCAAAACAAAATGAGCGACCTTGGTGTCTGGTGAGTTATAGTACTCCGTGTCTTCCTCCTGCTTTCTGCGGCTCAGTGCAGCAGCCTCTTAGGAACTGCGCCTTCTGTAGGCCCGCAGAAACACCGCCCCTGCTGTTTCCAGCAGGCTTTCGCCCTCCCACGCAAGACTGCTGGGTTAATAGGTACATCTCACCATCTCTTTTTTATTTCTTTATCATCTTAAAGTTAAAATCTACTTAGTACCTTCTCATAGTGAAAGCACATTTCCTACTCTTGGAAACAAGAGCTAAACTCTTCTAGAATCCAGAATTCAGAGCTTCTGTGAAGTTAGCTGATTCAGCACAACACGGGCCAGGAGAAAAAAACGCCAAGTCGGCCTTTACTTTGTTGTTGTTTACTTTTCAGTCGATAACTCCCTCCGTCCGAGTTCCAGGGCGTGAGTTCGAATGTGGAAACTCACCTCTGCCTGCATTGTCAGGGTGCCCACAGGGCTGTCCCCCACCGTCCCGGGCGCAAGCACTACACCAATCTGGGACCCAGGCGATCAGGCAGAGGCAGCGCCTCCAGACGACTGCGCAGGCGCGGGAAGCCAGCTCCCCCGCCCCCCCCCCCCCCGCAAGACCGCAGGTGGGAGGAGCCAACTTTCCAAGAGCCACACAGCTGGCCAAGTTTCTACTGTTTTTCTTCAGTAGAGAAATGTCAAATACTGAAGTTTAGAGTTACAGTATATAAATTGAATAGAGTTAGGTAAAACAAACTGACATTTGAAAACTGAGGCTGAAAATAGTTGATTTTGGCTTTTAATTGGCATTAAAAAATTTTTAGAGACAAAATGAAGCTTGAGGATGTGGAATGTGGAAAGTTTGGGTAAGAATATTAACTTCACATGAAATAACAAGCAGACGAGAGTTCAGACTTTCCGAAACCATGGGCTATTTGAAGACGACTGATTTGAGACGTCAAGCCACACGTAAAAATGAATGGAAATTGACTTTTAATTGAGAAAAACACAACAATAGCATTTAACACTGTTATTTAAGGGCTACTTAGTATTTGAGAGGAAAAGTGGTGTCAGGAGCCAGTGAGCATATAAAATGGCAGGCACGATAAGAGAAACCAAAATCATTACATGCGTATGTGTAAGAAAACAGTGATTAAAAAATGTAACACAGCTATATTTTAGGGGTAGGAGATAGTTTTAGGAATGGTAGATAATAGACAACTCAAGTTACTTGTCCTCCGGCACAGTAACAAATGCACTAGCTTCCCATCACTATTGCTGTGGTTGCAGTTTGGAGACAGGGTTCTTAAGTTCCTGGGGTCAATTCCCAGCATTTCAAAAAAAAAAGGCAAAAAAAAAAAATGTTTCCATTTAATACCTATCAGAGACAGGAAACGAGTGTTCTCTTGTCCCATAGTTTTGTAGGTTTCTGTCCGTGGCTGGCCCCAATAATCTCTTGTGTGGCACAACCTATCTCATAGCTGGAATACAAAAGACAGAAAAGAAGGAGCCCTTAACAGTTCCCTTTAACCACATGCTCACACTGACCTGAAAATGTTTAAGGGTGTCCATTTGGGGCACACTCTATATCCCAATGACAGCAAAGTTAAAAAGCATACATCTACATCTAGAGAAGAAAGGCTTAGAAAATATGAAACACTCTGGAGACTCCCAGTAGTGTCCTACTGATATCTAACCATTTCTGGGGAAATGATAGGAGGGTGTTGCTCCATGGTGGAGCACCCGCCTAACATCTCAACACGCTGGATTCAATCCCTAATGCTGTAAAAACGGGACTGGATGTATATAATTTGCTTAGCACACACATGCTCTATACCCACCAGTGCACAATACTGGACATGCTCATGCCAGTAATCTTAGCCTGGGGGAGGAGAGGACAGAGAATCAGAAATTCAAAGTCATCCTTGACTATGTAGCAAATTGGAGGCCAGGCTTGGCTACAAGTATCCCCATCTTAAAAATAAAAAATAAAACAAAACACAAGCAAATCTTGACATAAGAGAGAGCCTAAAATATACCAATAAGATGATATGTTCCAAAAAGTATATGGAGAATTATTTTATAGCTAATGAAATTTCTCAGGTTGTACCTAACACCAATTATTTCTTTTAAGAGCTTATTTTCCTTCAGAAAAGTGATCAAGCATTATATTGCTAGAGGATATGAGTAGTCATGAATCTTGACATGTTTAAATTCTGTCTTTCCAAGGACACTGTCTTCAGTTCTCCATAAACAGAAGAAACACTGGGACGAATTGGTCTTACATCAATCTGCGGTTAAATGAACAGGGGGGCTGTTGTTTGGTCTCCAGTGTGCCTAGACAACTGCACATTAAAGATTTGTACACTACCATGATGTTACTGACATGCAGTGGAAGCTTTAGGAGACTGGACCTGATTAAAGGAAGTTAGGTCATTGGGGTTGTGGTCTTGGAGGGGGATATTGAGCCCCCAGTATCTTCTCTCTTCTTCTGTACCACTGTGAGGCACTCTGTTCCAGCACATACTCCATGCTGTCCTGTGCAACCTTGCCATATAGG